ATTAAAGCCTGAGTCTTTGAGTAATAAAAATATATAACCATTTGAATGTGTGGCAAGTCAGCAGAATAATTAGATTTTTAAAGTTCGTCCAAGAAATATACACCCATTCCCATTCCCCATTCTGGAGGCATATCAAAACTCAAATACCTATCTCATCAATAGGTTTACATCTAGTTTTCTAACGTGCTCTATAATCAGAGCAAATCGAAGAGTCTTTCTTCTCTTATCTTTTTATTCTCTTTCTTAACAGATTTTTCCTTGCAACCTTGAATGTATAATAATGAGTATAATGCAGTTGTTTACAGCCATCAATAACGCTTTTACTTGTTTTTCTTTGTGTTTGTTTGTTTTGTTCTTTGTTGATTTGCTTTATGCTCGATCTTTTCCTTGTTTTGCTTTAGTTTGCTTTGCTTTGCTTTGCTTTGCTTTGCTGGAATTGCATTAATTAATTACATCGAAATGTGCATTAATCGAGCTCGTGACATTTTTATCATCTTTCATTAGTACTTTGGGTGCTTACATACAAATATACACAAACACACAAAGATATATATTTTTGTATATTTCTATGTATATATGTATATGAATATTCACATTTATAAATGTGCGCACTTAAGTGTGTTCAGCAAAACGCTGAATTTGCATTTCTGTTATAAATTTAATAAATTAAGAGAAAAAGCTTGGCATAATTTCTTCATAAAGCTTTTAACTATATTCTTTGGATTCATGGCAACTATAAGATATAGATTATTTAGCAAACCTCAATACCCTCTTATTTTCAAGATTTTCATGTTTCAAGTATCGTATATATTGTATCGTATATATTGTGTATACCTTAGTTTAGCAACTAAGCTTCATGCTATGCATTTCGATTAAACACCAATTTCTAATATCTACAACTATATTTTCAGCAATGCATATAAGACAATCTATAGTTTCAAGTATCTGGTTAGCTGAACAGCTTCTCCAAATTTGAAATGTTGTTCAACCATCACTGCTACGAGCTGCAAACATCTTCAATTATTTTGTTTATACACAGTAAATATAAATATAAATATTTACTTTTTGTTTTAACAGCCAACCGACACGCCCAAACACGCCCTTTTCATGATGATGATGATGCTGCTCATTCACTCATTCACTTGAAGTTCAATTCTAAAGTTTTACTTATTGTCGACAATTCAAGGCAAATGAAGATACATGCGAAATAATGTATGTATAGCTAAGCTATAATAAAATGTGTTTATTTTATTCTTTTAATCAACCTATATAGTTTCTGGCAACTTTTTTGCGCTCTTCTTTGCCCTATCAAATAACTCTCAAAAAGGTAAACATATTATTGGTATAGGGTATTAAACAATACAAACTGTTTACATTAGGCACTATTTGCCTATTGTAGAGTCAGGCTCTACATTGAAAAGGGTCTTAGCTTAGCTTATGTAAGTGGCAGAAGCAGACCGAATCCATGATATCTAATTAATTGATAATGTCGATAACATGCCTCTGCTCTTACCTCTATGAATCAACCACATATCCAAAAATTTAAAGCCCAATATATCTTGAGTATAATCTTAGGCACTTTTTCAGGCATTATTCAAGAAGTATATAATATAAAATTATAACTAATTTCATAAAGTAAGAAAAACCGTAGCTATTTCAAAAATTGCACAGCTCTTGGGTATTTCCTAGTCGAGCTAGCGTCGACTGAAGCACTTTTACTTCAGACAAGGATGACATCACATGGTACGAGTTAATACACCTACAAAGCGAACCAAATGCGAAAAGACAAAAGCAGAAAAAGGAAAAGAAAACAACGAGAAACAAAAACTACTGCAAATCTAATAAACAAGATATAAACAAAGGCAAGAGACGAAGTCAAGCAAACAAACAATACATAGAGTCCACGCTCGCATACTTAAAGTATTTACACGCAGACTTATATCTAAATATACATACAATACACCTAAATAGAGGTAGCTATGTATATGTACATGTATGTATATATATGTGTAGAAACAAACACGCTGAACAAATCGTAATCGTAATCGTTTCTACAATTTATAGCATTTGCGGTGAGAAAACAGATAGTAGACAAATGGTAGACAAAAAAAGTAAGCCTACAACAAATGGAGCCGGTAAACAGCGGCTACGTAGAGAACGAGGGAATGAGTAAACGAGCGAAAAAGGCAGAAAGCGAACAGCAAAATACAAATGGTGAGCTTTATGAAGTGCGCGCAAATCTAAACCGTAACCGATCCGAGGTCCAAAAACCGACTCGTAGAATCTCACGAATCGCACAAAATTCGTATCTTATCAGCGATTCTGATGTTGTTCATCTTTATCGCTAGCTAGGCAAAAAAAATTAAAAACTAATACGAATAAAGCAAATAGCAAAATCAAAGGCAAACCAATCACTCATAGGCAATTGCAATAGAATGGCGACAGACCTAACGGCTATTGTTTAAATAAGGTATTCCAGATAAAAGCAGATTTTTCAATTGGCAAACATTGAACGATTTATAGACTCCAGATTCAGTTCTACTCGCAAACTAGAATATAGTCAAAAAAATGTCTGCAATTAACATAACAAATCAAGTGAAAACTTATTTTTTTTTTTTTTATAAAATGCATTTCTAAGCAAATATTGCTGTTAGAATATCGTTTTTTAAGAATTTTATATATATTTT